GGGTAGAGCGTCAGCCTGTGGACTGAAGGGTCCCAGGTTCGATTCCCGGTCAGGGCACATGCCCAGGTTGTGGGCTCCACCCCAGTAGGGGGCATGCAGAAGGCAGCGAATCAATGATTCTCTCTCATCATTGATGTTTCTATCTCCCTCTCCCCTCCTCTCTAAAATAAAAAAATATATTCAAAATAAATAAATAAAATAAAATGTTTGTATAGAAAACTTAGAAAATAGAGATAAGCCCAATCAAAACATAACTACCCCTAAACCCACCACCTAGAGAGAATCACGGTGAGAATTTGATGTCTACCCTCCCAGACTTTTCTACCTACGTGTAAAACAAAAGAGCATGCATTTTAAGTGGAAACAAGACCTGTCCCCCACTTGTCGTGTCCCCGCTTCACACAGGGGGACCCCAGTGCCAGCTTCCTATTTCACAAAACCTCATGTGACCACACACATGGACACTGGGAGGGACACACCAAACACGCGCCTTGTCATGGCCCCTGGATGCTGGTTTTTACAGTATCTTCAGCCTTGGTCCTTGTTTGAATCGTTCTGAGGTTCTTGGTTACATTTTATGCAACAAGTCAGTGCGTGGGCATGGATTTGAGAGAGAGACAGCTCTCTGCCCCGTCTGGGTGGCTCAGTTGGTTGGAGCGTCATCCTGTACACCGAGCATGTCAAACTCAAAGGCTCACACGGGCCCAATAAACAAGGTTTAAGTGTATGTGGCCGCAAAAAATCAAAAGCTTCCATTTTCATAGAAACGTAGGTTTATTTCGATAGAGACATGCTGAGTGCAAAGGGCTGAAATAAGTGAGTGATCGTTACCATAAAATAATAGAACATTTTAATAAAAATTAATATATTTTTCTTGAACATTCACTTACCAGACACTGAGTAACGGCACAAATGAATAAGTGTAATGCAGATAAACCTATTTTTTTGGTTCTCCGAAAGTGAGATATTTCCTGTGGCGCACACCAAACAAGTCAGTCCAGGACGAATGACGTGGCCATGGGCTGCTAAAATATTCGCTGCTGGTATTAGTGGAGAGAAATGGTGTGCCTGCGTGTAAGGCGCATAAGGGAAATGAATGCAACACGACAATAGTAATCAGTCATTAGCGAATGTTGTAGTTCGTTTTTAATGATTATGTATAACAGGATGTTGTAAAAATTAAGTCATGCAATGTTTTTTTTAAAGATATTTTATTGATTTCTCACAGAGAGGAAGGGAGAGGGACAGGAGAGTTAGAAACATCGATGAGAGAGAAACATCGATCAGCTGCCTCCTGCACACCCCCTACCGGGGATGTGCCTGCAACCAAGGTACATGCCCTTGACCAGAATCGAACCTGGGACCCTTCAGTCCGCAGGCCGATGCTCTATCCACTGAGCCAAACTGGTTAGGGCATGAAATTTTTATTAAAACGTTTCTTACATACCATTATATTGGCTGGGCTGCAAAAATATTCGTTGTGGACCGTGAGTTTGACATGCTTGCTGTACACCAAAAGGTGGTGGGTTCAATCCCTGGTCAGGGTGCGTCCGGGAGGCAACCAATCGATGTTTCTATTCCTCTCTCTCCCTCTCCCCTCCTCTCTCTCCCAAATCAATAAACATATCCTTGGGTGAAGATTTAAAAAAAGACAGACACACACAGCTATATACACACACAGAGCCAGGTGTCCTTCCTGTGTCTTAAGGCTTTTACTGCTTTTGTAATGCAGGGGAGTATTACAGTAACTTTTACTTGAAATAACCACTGGGAAACAGGAGATGCTGGCCTGCTTTTTACCCTGCTCTGGGCCTGCTGGTCCCTGAGCCCCGGGCCCTTGCCTCCAGGGCTGCACCTGGGGATAGGGGTGCAGACCCACGGGGCACCCTGGCCTATCCCAGGCTCTCTTTGTTCCTCAGGCCATGGATCCAGGACATCGAGGGAACTAACGCCAGGGACCTCTGCAACGCTTCCTCCATCAAGTCCCGGGGTGCTGCACCAGCAGGTAAGGTGCCAGTCAGAAGATGGAGGGAGGCAGGGGCCAAGCTGCTTAGAAGGCTCCTGAATTCAGGCACTGGCGGGAGTAAATGCCTTCCCTCCCGTCCTCGTCCCCCCCAGCCTGCAGGCGAGGCCCTGGGAAGTGGAAGTCACAATCCCCAGAGTCCTCAGAGTTGCCACGGTGGCCTGATGGGCGCTGCCCAGCGGGAGGTGGGTGAGCTGGGGCTGGGGTGCACGCCAGGCCCCCTTGGCCCCATGTCTGCCTCTCCTGCCCGCAGGTGAGAAGCCGTGTGAGCCAGTCCTGTTCCAGCCCAATACGGTGAACACCTTGGCCTGCCCCCTGCTCTCCAACCTGGCGACGCGGCTCTGGCTGCACAAAGGGCAGCCTGTCAATGGCTCGGCCTCCTGCCGGGTGCTGCCCACGGGGGACCTGCTGCTGGTGGGCAGCCAGCAGGAGCTGGGGGTGTTCCAGTGCTGGTCGCTGGAGGGGGGCTTCCGGCAGCTGGTGGCTAACTACTGCCCGGCGGTGTTGGACACGGCGGCAGACCGGCGGGGGAAAGGGTCCGTCGTCATCAACACGTCGCGGGTGAGCGCGCCCGCCCACGGCAAGGCCAGCTGGGGCGCGGACCGGTCCTACTGGACCGAGTTCCTGGTGATGAGCGTGCTGTTCGTGCTGGTCATACTGCTCCTGATCCTGTTCTTCCTCTACCGGCACCGCGATGGCATGAAGGTCTTCCTGAAGCAGGGGGAGTGTGCCAGCGTGCACCCCAAGACCCGCCCGGTGGTGCTGCCGCCTGAGACCCGGCCGCTCAACGGCGTCGGTCCCCCGAGCATCCCGCCGGACCACCGAGGCTACCAGGCCCTGTCGGACAACTCCCCGGGGCCACAGGTCTTCACGGAGTCCGAGAAGAGGCCGCTCAGCATCCACGACAGCTTCGTGGAGGTGTCCCCGGTGTGCCCCCGGCCCCGGGTCCGCCTGGGCTCTGAGATCCGGGACTCGGTGGTGTGACAGCTGACTTCCAGAGGAGGCCACCCTGGCTTCAGAGCGCCGTGGATGCTCAGAGGCATTGGCTGGACTCTGCTCTTGTAGAGTCTGGCTGGACACGGCGCCGTGCCCAGCCCTCCGGAGTAGCGGGGCCCTTCAACCGGCCCCGTTGGAGGAGCGAGGCCCCTCCAACGCAGATGCCATGGCCCCGCGGAAGATGGGCGGGCGCCCGCCTAGGTGCGCAGAGCAGTGCTCCTCATGTAAGCTGAGCCTTTTGTGTAAAAAAAACCACTGAAAATGTGAAATAAGAACGATGCCATGTGCCCGGCCGCTCCAGCTCGCAGCCCCCAGCCTCGGGGTCTCGCCCTGGTTGGGGTTTTGGAAACATCCACCGCGGTGGGTGGAGACAGTTGGGAACCTCTGCCTTATGCTACTGCCACAGGCGGCCCGTCACTGCTGGGCCGGGGGCCGGCTCCGGCTCCGTGGGTCCTGCCTGGCCACTGGCCAAGTTGTTACGGCCACCATCCCGTCACCTCAGGGACCGAGGGCCACGCTGGCACTGCGGCCCTCACGAGGCCTGGGCTCGAGCCACCTCTGGACCTTTCCGGCCTGTATCAGGCCCTGGCCACGTGACAGCAGGCAGCGAGAGCTCAGGAGTTAGGACAATGTTCACCTTTCCCTCGGAATTCTAGGAAGAGACTGCTGTTGGCTGCCTTCCTCTGTCCAGACTGAAACCCGTGTCCCCCGTCCCGTATCCACCCAGCGCGTCTCGGCGCCCAGTCCCCCTTCACTCCCACACTTCACCTGCCTCCGATCTAAGGGAGTTGACGCTGCCCAGCACAAGGGCCTGAATTTATGTGGGTTTTATATTTTTTTAAAGTCAGATGCACTTTACATTTGTTCTGTTTTTTTGTATTGTAAATAAAATCTCAAGAACTGAAACTGAATCGTAGCCCTTCCTCTTAAAGGACCGTTGACCTAGCCATGGCTCAGTGGCTAGAACGTTGGACTGCAGACCAAAGGGTCCCGGGTTCGATTCCGGTCAAGGGCACGGACCTTGGTTGCAGGCTCTTCCCTGGCCCAGGCCCTGGTTGGGGCTCATACAGGAGGCAACCAATCGCTGTTTCTCTCTCACATCGATGTTTCTCTGTCTTTCCCTCTCTCTTTCCTACTCTCCCTAAAAATCAATGGATGAGGATTAACAAAATGAAATAAAACAGATATAAACTAAATTAACTAGAAGGGGAAAACAATTTACTAAAGTAAAAATGAAAAATAAAAAAAATGAAAGGACTGTTGCTTTTTGAGGTTGGTCTAATCTTCTGAGTTCTGGGGGTTCTGAACTTCCTGTTCCCAGGGGCCAGGGGTCAGGGGGCCAAAGCCAGCCCGCCTGCCCGCCACCATATCAACCTTTTACTCTGGTCAGGGGTCGGGGCACAGGGAACAGGGTTTTTATTTAACTCTTAAAATTCTTTTTTTTA